CAAGACTGATAGCTCGGCAGAGTATAGTGCCTGCTGAGGCAGAGCACAGCGCCCAGGTTTCTATCCCCAGCCCCAGCCCCAGGGTGTGCTGAGACAGTGACTGAGACTGGATGTGGTGGAGCACGCCTATAATCCCAGCGCTTGGGAGGCTGAAAACAGGAGGATCACTGAGTCCAATTAGTAAGACCCTGTAGACCCTGTGCTAAACGCAGAAGAAAAAAAAAAAAAAAGAAACGAAAGGGCCGGCCAGATAGCTCAGTGGACTAAAGCATCTGCTTAGGAAGGTGCAGGGACCAGGGTTCGACCCAGGTGTACCATGCCAGCCCCGTGCCCAAGGCACACTGCCACAGCAACTGAGACTGGGCGTGGTGGCACACGCCTGTGATTCCAGTGTTTGGGAAGCTGAAAACGGGAGGATCACCACGAGTCCGATCTATGTAGTGAGACCCTGTACTAATAAGATACTGAATGATCCACAGTGCTTTTATAAATATCACGCGTGGTATAGGATCTATCTAGGCCAGTGACAGCAAACCTTTCAGAGCTTCAGTAATAACAAACAGCCCACTGCAGCCCTCATATTACATATTTGCCATCACTGATCCAGCTTCACCCCAAATCTGTATTTTACCCATTAAACTCACTGAGGGATTCGATCCCCGGCACCATATGCCATGCCAGCCCCACCCCCCGGGGCGCGCTGAGCCAGCAGAGACCAGGCATGGTGACACATGCCTGTAATCCCAGCGCTGGGGAGGCTGAGCACAGGAGGATCACAATGAGTCCAAGCTGCATAGTGAGCCCTTGTACCAAATACATACATACATACATACAATAAAAATATAAACTCACTGACCATCCTATAGTACAGGGCTCTAGAAAGAATCAGGTGAATACATAATACTTTATCTTGCTGGTTGGGTGGACTGGTTTCCAATAAAACGAAGGAGGCTATTCTGTGACATGATGAAAATGGAAATCATCTCTAATTGTGAAGTAAAAATAAGCAGTTTCAATTTTGCCATTAATCTCAGCTTTTGGCCTTTCTCCTGTTAAAGACATTTTGCTTAAACCTTACCTTAAATGAGACAATGTATTTTTCTAAGTTAATTTTAAGGTACTTTAAACCAAGAACTTTTGGGATTCTGGCACTAAATGGTTACCAGAAGTACATTCCCTGATTTCTAATACTAACTTAAGTGCCTATATCCCTAAAGTTTTTTTTTTAAATAGCAATGATAACCATTTTACCTAAATGACATTTCTAATTTGTTTTCCTCCTTTAGTTTTCAATCTTGAATAATGGTGATGGTAATGACAAAGCATGCATATAGTAAAATACATTTTTCTTTTTGGTGGTACCAGGGATTGAACTCAGGCCCTTGCACTTGCCAGGCAAGCGCTTATTCTACTGAGCCATCTCCCCAGCACCTAGAATTACATTCTTAAAGACATCATAAACAAACAGTTTAAGTGAATGTTCATACCACACACAACAAAGATCATCAACATAGAACTGGATAAATAATGGCTTTTTTAAAAGCACTAAACTTCCTGTCACGATAGTTCATGTAAGACTATCCAGACAAGAGTTTTAAATTACTACCTCTAAAAAAAAAATAGTAGTTCAACACACTACCTACAAAATTTAAATTCCTCAAATTCTTTAATAGAGCCAAAAGATGATACAGTACATGAAGAGCCATTTGAAAGAATCCAAGAACTAGCAAGACAGGCCAGGGATATAGCTCAGCAGCACGGTGCCTGCCTGGCAGGTGTGAGGTTGAGTTTGATTGCTGGTACCACAAAAGGAAAAAAAACACAGCTTATTTTAAGATCTCGGAAAAGTCAATGTTTATAAATATCTAGCAGAACATTAACATCACCACTATTCACCAACTGATCTCAACCCTACCCTATTTAATGATACTACACCCTTTACCTAAATGAAAGAGCACCTTAAAAAGCATTAACACCTTGAAGATCTGTAATTAAAAGCTTAATATTATTAGAAAGGGAAAAAGTGAGCTAGATGTTACCCCAGGAATACTCATCTTCTCCTAGCCTGTCACACAGGAACGTTCCTGGCAGTCTACATAGCTCCTAACCATGTCCTTAAGGCCCTCTGAAGATCTGTCATTTGCTTTTCAATCAAAGTGTCTGACGTTTCTGATCTCCAGCGTGGACACATCACTGGGCATCTCTTTCTCCTGTTCCTCAGCTGACTAATTACAGACATTCCCGTTTAAAGATGGGGTTCAGTTTCTGAGGAACTGTATATTGTGTCCACATTACAATATTCAGAGCAAAGACATGGTCATAGGAACTCCAACTTGACGACTTGCTCTTATTTGCATAATTCTTACAGTATGCAGAAGCCACCACAGGGCTGCACTGCCACTCACATTCCTGCATTGCAAGGCAGGACAGCGGGCCCTAAACCTGAACAGCTCCCTTCAATCCTAAGTCTGAACAATCATTAAACGAGGATTACCTGTGTAGCATCCCCTACCCTAACTCCACGCTTTCACTCATATTTCTGTTCAAGCACAGTAAGGGTTTTTGTGCTATTATCCCTAGTAAGGCCTCAGGCCTTACGCATCATGCCTAGATAGGATCTAGAGTTTAAGCCTTTAATGTACTGTTTACATTTTATTAGTTCTTATCCTTGATGAACATACACTGAGGAAATACTTTAATTGTTCCACTGTTTATTAAAAGCAGTTTTTTAAACAAGGGTGATATAACCTGACATAAGCAAACTGCACCCTCTAAAGACTGAACTTACTAAAGCTAATTTTATCCATATTTAACTCAAATCAAACTGGCATACAAGGGGCTGGGGAGATGGCTCAGTAGAATAAGCACTTCTCTGGCAAGCGCAAGGGCCTAAGTTCAATCCCCAGTTCTGCCAAAAAAAAAAATCCAAAAAAAATTTCCGATCAGAGGTTTCCTTAGGAAACTACAGGACAGTAACAGCTAACCCCGAATCAAAGTAAAAGCATCTTAATGAGGTGTTAAGACCTACTGAAAGGCCTCTGGTTCCATAAAGAATCAAAGCTTTGCAGGGTGGCCCGGGAGGCAACCATGTCTACAAAAAAGCCTTCCTTGAAACAGACTAACACAGCAGTGCTGTAAGAATCATAGACATTTAAAATGAAAGTGAAGGGAATGAGTGGAAAGAGAAAGAAAAACTGTTTCAAAATCAAAATCATCATGGTAGACCCGATACAAGTACCTCAGCAAAAACTTTGATCAGGACCCTTATGTCCCATTCAAAAAAAAAAATTGTTTTTGTACAGGGTCTTGCTATGTAGCTCAGACTCACAGTGATTCACCTGTCTCAGGCTCCCCAGCGCTGGAAGTATAGGTGTGGGCCACCACAGCACCTGGTACCAGGGATCGAACTAGGGGCCTTGTGCTTATCAGGCAGGCACTTGAACGGTAGAGCTATGTCTGCAGCCCCATTCAATTATTTTGACTCATTCTTCTCTAAGAACTTTAATTTGAATTCATTTGTGATCCATTTAATTTTAACACAGATGGAGTACATTAAAAGAAAATGGAAGTCTATTTTGTACATTAAAATAAATCCCATCTAAGAATTTATTAACTAAGATTACTGTTAAATTTCAAGTAGCTCCAAATTATTAACAGATAATACTACTGAAGTTTCTTTGAGGGGGACTCTGCCCTTAACCCTTAAAATTTTGATGTCACCTCCAAATAAGAACCTCATTAAAATACTCATAATACTAGGGTGTATGTAATGAAGAAGCTGTATGATGTATCAAATTAACTCTCCCTTTTGACAGTGTTTTCCCTTTGTGACTGCTTTTTTTTTTTTTTTTTTTTTTTTTTTCTTTTTTTTTTGCGGAACCGGGGATCAAACTCAGGCCCTTGCACTTGCCAGGGAAGCGCTTATTCCACTGAGCCATTTCCCCGGCCCGTGACTGCTTCTCTTGAATAAATCTGAGAATAAGAATTTTAAACAGATATAAGCTTCACTGGTATCGTCTAAAACTATGCTACTGAAAATGTGAAAATAAATTTTAAGCTACAACTTCAACAGTTACACTTAATAACCAATAATCGTAATTCTCAGTAGTAGTCTTTTGCCCTCTGACAATACTAATTCTGAAAAAGAAACTACTTTTCTGTTAAGTATTACTTTATTCAATTAAAAGTAATTCACCAATTAAAATCCACAGGTACATAAAAAATGACACAAACTGGTGGAGAGGGAGCTAACAACAGTTTTTTTAAAAGTGAGGACAACACTAGAATGTCTCTTTTCTTACGATGTCAAATATTTTGCTCACAGCCTTCTTAATTATCCCTTATTTTAGAGAAAATTTACTTTAGAAAAAATCATGCAGGAGCTAGGGAGATAGCTCAGTAGAATAAGCACTTGCCTGGCAAGCGCAAGGGCTTAAGTTCAATCCCTGGTTCCACAAAAAAAAAAAAAAAAAAAAAATCGTATGAATGGTCCTAAATGTGGCTTAATGATGCTTTTTGCCTTTCTTGAGTAATGAGAAATCTCCAGATTGGTGAGCATAAGCCAAATCCACTTGTGACCCATATGAAATGCTCCTGACTGTACCAAATCCCAGCCCTGCTCCCAAGACCTCATGTGCAGACCTCACCAAGGACATGGGACAACCTTGTAAGCTGGGTCAAAAACAAGTGAGACAAATTATGTAGACATTTTTTTCAAAATAGAATTAGTCGTGCAAAACAAAGTAATAAAACAGGATCTAAACTATAATAAATCAAATTTTCCTCTATGTAAATGATGCTTAAAAAGATAAATGTGGAAAAATAAATAAAAAAATTTTTAAAAGATAAATGTGGAAAAGATTATACATGAGATAGTGCCGTGAATTCATAAAACTAAGATAAAATTCCTATTAAATATTTATCACTCATATTTTCAAAATAAGTGAATTTATAATTTATTCTAATATTTATTATATGATAGCAAAGCATTTCCCACTTACCCAAATGAAGTAACGTAAACTGGGCTGCCAGCTCCTTTGCGTCTTCTATTGTAGTGCAGAGCTTGTCTGGCATGAAGTAGCTCTGGGGTCCATTTGCAATAGCAGGAATAACTACTTTGTATACCAAGAGTACTTTCCCATCCTGACTGGTTGTTGAATATAAGTAATATTCTGGTGGAGCCCAATTATTTTTGTTGCAGTAATAATCCAAGTGCATTACTGCAGAATTAAAATGACTGGATTTTAAAGAATACATACTAATTGGAGTAAGCTTTGTCCCAGGAAAGAAAGGATAGGTGCATCTCTCAATTTCAGAGGGGCTTAGGCTGTGCTGACCATTGAGACGAGCAGAAAGAACGGGCGGCTTGCCCACAGCTTTAGGGTGGCTCTCCTCTTTGTTAGCATACATAAGCAGGTTTTCAGGACTGGGGCTCATCTGACCATTGAGATGCTGCCGCCAAGTGTTGTCTTTATTTACCGGTTTTGCGAGTGTTACCTCAATACTCGCTCCATCAATGCACTTCCCACCCATCACAGACATTGCAGCCACTGCATCCTCTCGGTTGAAAAAGTGAACAAAAGCATAATCTCTAAGTTTTTTTACTCGCTCAACTGCACCAGGTTTGAATTTATTGAATTCTGCTTTAATTGTTTCCTCTGTAGTTGAGATCATTAAATTTCTCACAAAGAGAACTTTAACTCTTTGCATTGTTTCCTCATCGACTTCTTTCTCTGGATCAGCCCAATCCACCTGAATAGTATGACCCCACAGCTGGAATGTACCTGTAAAAAAAGAACATAGGAATTTGAAGACAATCAAAACAAAGAATGAAAGTTTACAATGTTAATATGTTTTTCTAAGAAGCAGAAACCTGAGCTCCTATCAACATGTCTGGTAATTTGTACAGAAGTTTTTACTAAGGCAAACTTATGACAGGAACTTATGTTGGGATTTAAGAGTCAAGACAACAGATATAGTTCAAGGCCAGATCTTTACTGAATAAACTAAATCACCCTTTGGGCTTGCACTAAACAGTTACTAACAATGCAAAGTATACACATTGGTAAATTATCATAAATATGACTTGGAGGAAGAACTGGTCTAGAAGAATGCTTTACTTCCTCACTCAACTCCTTATTTTCCAAAGGACATTACATATTTTGTTAATAATGGCCTAACCACTGAGGCAACTATTATTATTTTTCCATATTCATAAGATTAGTATGGAAAAATTATCTTTAAAAGGAACAATGTACCTGGAATTAATTTTCTCCTAGCCATAGCAGCAGCTCTGTGAGACTCATACTTAACAAAAGCAAAACCACGATTTTTGGTTTTATCAGTCGCACTTGGATAAACAATGACATCTACAACTCCTTCTGTAACTTTCTTCATTTCTTCCAAAATTTCTTCTTTCTTCTTTTCCTTGGGAATAGCTCCAATAAATAATCTGCAGTTATCCAAGCTCACACAAACACCAATAAACTTCCCTGGTCGAATCTCATAATTGTTAAGAATTCTGATAGCCAACTGGGCTTCTTCTTTGGTAGTGTACATCACAAAAGCATATCCTCTGTTTTCACCACTAAACTCCATCATCAGCCGAAATTCATATATCTTCCCGCTCTTTCAAATACAGGAACTAACTCATCTTCATACATATCACGAGGTATTTTTCCTACAAAAACTTCACAGCCTCTAGGTGGTGGTGGACCTTCCCAACCTAAAAGACGGAAATAGACATTTAAAAATTCTAAAAAGATACACTTATTGAAACATTTACTCATTCAACAAATTTGCCAAATGTGCAGTGAACTACTCTAGGTGTTAAGATCAAAGCCTCTTCTCTTGTGAAGCTTATATTCAACAGAGAAAGGAGACAGTAAGTCACGAGGAAGTGCTACCATATGAAGAAAAATCTAGCTACATAAGGGTTACTGTTCTCAGTAAGGCAGGTAAAGCTCTGAGCACAAGGGTTTAAGGTGAATGAATGAAATGAGTGATGAAATGGAATGAATTAAACAAGGGAATGGTCTACTAGAGTAATCTGAAGAAAAACCACTCAGGAAAAGGAAAAAGCAAGAGGTTTACACATCAGAGCAAAGTAGTAAAATGATGCAATAACCACAAAGCTAACTAGAAGCCAGAAATCTTGAGTGAAGGAAGTCAGCTGGAGGGTTCTGAGCAAGAGAATTACACTAGCTACTGGCAGAAACATAAAAACATTTTATCTGCTTACCTGTTTGAATCTGGTTTTCTTGTATAACTACCACTCCTCTGTTCATTATCTTTCAACTTCCTCTCCAAATGCCCTCCCCTTTAATACCAAGGGTATACTTAGGACAATGCCCTAATCCTGGCTTCTTTCTCAACTCAACTTCATTTCCATCTGCATCTTAAAACAAGAGCGGAATTGCAAAATTATAAGGGTAACATTTATAATCTATCTCAAAATAATTGCTGAGGTCTTGAAGCAGTTATGGGAAGAGAGCCATTTTAATACACATGTAGGATATACACCTGATCCATATGACTGTTTCAAAATTTTAACTTAAAGGAAGATAAAGGCCGGGTATGATGGTGCATGTCTGTAATCCCAGCACTTGGGAGGCTGAGACAGGAGGACTGCTTTGAGAGTTTGAGGCCAGCCTGGGCTACAAAGTGAATTCAAGGCCAGGCTGAACTACATAGCAAGAAACTGTCCTCCCCCACAAAAAATAAAATAAGATAAATTCACACCTGGAGGAGGACCACCAAATTTCCTTTGTCCATTTTCTTGAACCATGTTGTAACCAGTCTTTTCCATCAAAGCAAGCAATGCTGCTTCATTCTGAATACCAGTTCGAACTTTACTGCATCCATTTGTTCCATCCATATTTTCTTCATTCATGGCTGCAGTTCCTAAAACAAAGTTAAACAACAGTGTAATCTTATGACATATCACCAGGAATCTATGAAGCATTTCTCTGGGTTGCTCTTCCCAACTGAAGAAACTAGAAACTACACTTAATGTTACTGACCAATTAAGCAGTACCTTTAGAAGGTCTAAGTTACAAGAAAGGGAAACAAAAAGGAACAAAGACAAGAATGGGAAGAAATGAAAGAGAAGAAAAAATGAGTAACAAAACAAGCTGCCCAGGCCATGAGACAGCTCAGACTAAAATGCCTGCTTTGGCAAGCGCAAGGACCAGGGTTCGATTCCAAACTCTCAGCTGCGCCGGCCCCACCCCCAGAGCACACTGAGCCAGTGACCAAGTAAGGATGTGGTGGCACATTCCTATAATCCCAGTGCTGGGGAGGCTGAAAACAGAAGGATTATTACGAGTCCAATCTGTGCAGTGAGACCCTGTGCCAAATACATAAATTAAAAGAAGAGAAAAAACACACTGCCACCAAAGAACATATGGCCACTGTCACCAATCAAGTTACTGTACCATCTAGGTCAAGTGAACTTTTGTGTGACTCACACTCATCAGATCCATGTACCTAATGCCAATATTGCTCATTTTGCTAGAAATCCTCAAGAACTTCACTAGTTTGCTGGAACTGGACAGGCTTAGATAGAGTAAGTAAAGAGAACTTCAGGTTAGTCCATTCCTATGTGCCAGAAACTACTAAGAAGAGTAACAAAAACAATTACTGATCATCTGAGCAGAAACAAGAGCAACTATAATTTCCATTTAGCAGCATCTGAAGAAACTTTTGTTTGTCTGTTTGAGAAAGGGTCTTGCTATGTAGCCCAAGCTGGCCCAGAACTCTAGGCAGTCCTCCTGCCTCAGCATCCTGACTGCTAGGATTATAGGGAGACATTGTCACTTCTGGCTAGAGACTTTTATCAGTCTTTCCACTTACTAGCTAAACTTCAGTAAGTTACCTTAATGCCACTGCACCTCCACTTCCTCGTCTGTGATATGCAGACTGTAACAGCCTAGTCTTGTGAAGTTTTTATGAAGAATCAGTTCACATCAAAGTAAAACCTTGAGATTTATTTTTAGTCATAATAAGTATTGTTCACTACTAATTTTATGCATCTTTTGGAACCTTTCAAATCACTAGACATCTGCAAATAATAACTTAGAATTCAGTAATTCAATCTGCAGAGAAACTCACTTCAAAATAAAACTGATTATGCCAGAGAAAGAGGATGAAAGACCCTGCTCCATTTACTTTAATAGGTCTACTATAAGTGCTAGTATGCTTCTACACATTACTGTTAATCTACCATTATAGGAAGCAGCAACCTTGCAAAAAAGAAACTATTATCTCCATTTACATGAAGAAACAGAGAAATTATACCCAAGATCACAGATTCCAAAAGTGGTATAAACAAATTCAAACACCAGTCTGTCAGATCTCAAAAACTCTCCTTCCCATGAAAATTATTCTGGTACATGTCCCTCAACTTTATCTGAAAGAACAGATGAAGATCTAAAGAAAGCATCCAAAGTTGACTTTGTTGCAAATGGAGTGATCAGAAATTATAAACTGATATATATAGTGAACTATAAGTCCCTCTGGGTGATTAGTAACACAGGACACACACACACACACACACACACACACACACACACACACACACACAGCTTTTAAGTCTAGAAAGCTTCTTCCAAGCTAATATTATATTGCACCAAAGAAAGCAGTTCTAAAACACAAAAACAGGGCAGGTAAGTAGTTTATGCACTCCTAAGACCTTCTACTACCATCTATCTCATTTCCCTAAATTTATTCATTTCTCAAATAGCTTTATGAACATGTGTTCAAAATGAGATGTTCATTAGGCATCTCAAATCCAACACAGCAAAACTTGAATGCCATTTTGTTTTTTAATCCTGTTCTTCTTTTACCTTATCTCAAGTAATTCATTTATGGTACAATAATAAATGGTACAATAATAATCAGCTAGAAACTCTCCTCCACCCTGTGACAGGTAGAAATCTAGTAATTATCTGTCTTTCTTTTAAAATATAGCTAACTGATCTTAAGAATCTACAGATTTAAAATACTTCTTGAAATCAGTCTTTTCCTGTCAATTCTCACAAGCTACTTTCAAGTAATTATTCCTTATTTGGATTACTCTAGGCTCTAAAAGGCTATATTCTAGGGGCTGGGGAGATAGCTCAGCAGTCTAAGCACCTGCCTGGCAAGCACAAGGACTCAGGTTCAATGCCCAGTACCGCACGGCATGCTGGCCCCTGAAATTAGGCATAGTGGTGCATACCCATAATTCCAGCACTGGGGAGGCTGAGACAGGAGGATCAGCATGAGTCCAAGCTGTGTAACAAGACCTTATACCAAATAGGAAGCAAGAAAAGACGGAGGGAGAAAAGGAGGGAGAGAGAGAAAAGGAAAGGAAAGGAAAGGGCTAGTCTAATTTGCAGTCTTATTCTCAGATGAAATCCCCACAATGCTGTCAAGATGATAAAAAACACATAGATCTGATTAAACTTTTATTTCAAGTTAAAACTAAGAAGACAATTAGTGAATTCACTTTTTATCCTTAGAAACAGGAAGGCTTTTCTAAAAATAAATTTTTGAATGCCTAAAAGGAAAATACTAACAAATTATGTCTTGCTACATAAAGAAACTTTGGAAATCAATGACCATAAAACTAAGTAAAAAAACTGTAAGCAGGAAAAAATTCTCTTAAACATCTATCATAAAGTACTCATTTGTTTCATATACCAAGAGCAGCCTCATGTTGTAGTAAGGAACAGACAAAAGTATCAGACTACCTAAGACTCAATTACAATCCTTCCCTCTATTAAGTTATGACTCTGGGTAAATTATTTAACCTCCAAATATCTCCATTTAATTCTTTATAACTATAGGCAAAAATAGCCTCTGTCTCATAAGGTAAAATGATTCAGAATAAAGAGCTCAGAACAGATTTTTTTAATATAAGCACTAAATACTATATCTACTAATATTAATACATGGTTAAACAGGAAAAAAAAACCAATAAACTGCAGACCAGGGACTTCAAATTCAAATTCATTTATTTACGTATTTACCAACCACCAACTATGTACCTGGCATTATTCCTTTGTTCCAAGATATCTCTGTAAAGTAGACCAAAATCCCCCCTCCCCTTGTATAGCTTAACACTCCAGTGGGGAAAACGAATGATACGTAATAAGTAAATAAAATATAAAAGATAAGAGCAGGGAGAGCGCACATGGGCAGCTGGAGGATGGCAGAAGACAGGGTGCAATTTTAGACAGCCAGTGCAGGGCTCACTGAGAAGACAACCTTTCAATTTAACACTAAACAAATCTACCCATGTCACTATGTGGAAAGACTATTTCACACAAATGAAAAGCAGGATAGAAGCTTTAACACAGACACGTGCTTGCCATGTACAAGGTACAGCAAAGAAGCCCATAAAACCAAGGTGTATTGTTATGATTTGTGTCTAGCTGTCCCCACAAAGCCTCATGCAGTCATTGGGGTGGGGTTCTAGAGTTTGGGATTAATCTCAGTGCTGGGATTATGGGTGTGAGTGCCACACCCGCCCCGGGGTAGACAGCCTGAGTGAAATACAAGGAAGGGGACTGGTGAGATGGCTCAGTGGTCTAAAGCACCTACTTAGAATGAGCTTAGCAAAGCACAGGGACCAAAGTTCAATCCCCCAGCGCCACATGCCAGCCAACCCTGCCCCCTGGTGGGCTGAGCTGGTCCCCCACACACACACACATAAATAAATAAAATTTAAAAAAAGAAAAAGAAAAAGGAAAAAAAAAAAGAAATACAAGGAAAGGAAAGAGGCTCACTCTCTGCCGCTACTGTCACTGCTCATCTCTTTCTGCTCTTGCTGTTTTGCTGTTTTCTGCCACCAGAAACTACTGCCTTCTGCCATGTGCCACCCTGCCTTCAAGCCAGACAAATATGGACTGAAACCTCTGCAAACTGTGAGCTAAATAAGCTTTTCTTCCTTAATTTTGGGTGCCAGGTATTTGTCCCAGCAACAAGAGAATTTGTAACGGAGACAGGAATGTAGTCAAGAGATGCAGTCAGATGTCTCTCGGGTAGATGGATGTTCAAGAAGAAGGCGGTGGTGAAGGAAAGCAAGAGACAGGAAAAGGAATATTGTGGGACTGTCCTGCTTCAAG